AGGGCCGTTCCCCGGTCATGTACACACGCGCCCTTATCTGGATGCACGCGAAGGTACCAGGGCTACATAGTAGCCCCACCGTGAAACTCCTATGGCTAAGTGAAAGTGTTAAAGCTATATAGTCCGGTTACCTAGTTCGACATGCGATCACCTCCTTAAGGGACCAAGACGTTGGATCAAGTGTGATTATGCATCTTTTTGCGAACACCCCCGCATTGTATGCGTGGGGGCTGAAGCCAACGACTGCTAAGTTTCAGGTTATATAGACATCAAACGTCCACACAGGAGGCATAATAACACTTTCGGGCGAAAGTATAAACATAGCCTCCATAATTAAAATACAATTGTTTTTACAACGGAAAGATTTGTCACACGAACATGACATTCTTCGAGCACTGAGCCTCTATTAAACAAGCACCTTCTGTTACCTGCTCCAAGTAGTGCTCGGCTGGATCCTGGCTTCCCGCCGTATTCTGGGTTGCAATGATGGTGGCCTCCATATCTGTCCAGTATGTTTTAACACGGGCAAGGGCCATCCGCTCACCCTCTATGCACGCTGACCTCTTCATGGCATCGATTCGTGATACGACGCCAAGGAATTGTTGCACTAAACCAAAATAACTATCCGGCTTTGGCCCCTTCAGCCATAGATGGTCTATTACAGATCTCATCGCAAGACCGGACAACCTATGGAGCTCAGCCACAGCAGCCATCCTTTCACTTAATGGCAACGGGCGCGTTGGAGCACTGAATTGCGACCAGAACAACCTTTCCACTTCATTATCTTTTTGATCCTCAAAAAACTTGGCTGCATCAGCCGTACTCTTCGCCAGATCTGCATAAGCGTCTGTAGGGCTCCAGCGTCGATCCAGAGGAGCATACTTTGGGTCTAAGAACTTCATCCGCAACAAATAGGGGTTTCAAGCCGCGATTTCTCCGGCCTGTCGAAGCTCCTCCCGCGCATCCCTAATTTTGGAACGCGTCTCCTCGGCCGCATCAAGGGCCTTCTTCAGGTCAGCTGACTTTGTCTGATTCTCTTTTTCAAGGAGCTCATACAGGCTGGCGGCGTTTTTTAGCTCCACAGCCATCTCGGCTATTTTATCTTCGTTGCGACGATGAGCAGCCTGTTCGGCTCTCAACTCTTCGGCCGCCTTTAGGCCAGCCGCATTGCTAGCCCGGGCTTGTTCCTTGGCTATGGCAAGCTCCGCCCTTAGGGCCTCCACGGCAGCAGCTCCGCCTGCAGTCAAAGCATATCATATTAACATTATGCTCCTCTTAATATTTCCTATAAAAACAAGGAAAACAGAGCACATACTCTGTGACTCATTAAGCCGCTCGTTCACAAGCATGATGTCGGCATCTACAACATCAATCTGACGCCTCAGTTCGGCGACTTCAACGGTCCGGTCGGCCGCCGGACCCTTAGCCACATGTGCATGAATTCAGTGCGATCATTACTTAACAATGTGATCCTCCGTTCGCCGCCTAGGGCTGGCAACCAGAGTCTCAGGGGCTACTATCTATACGGAGCACACCTAGCGCGTGCGCCACAACAAAAAATTACGTATTTCATTACATACCTCAAAGCCTTTGAGCAGGCTTGTAAAAGCTTCATTCAACCCACTTGTGGCGGATGAAATCTTCTCAAGCACCGTGCTCATTAACGAACGGTGATCTTCCGAGAGAGCAGCTTGCTCCGGAAGGCCCGTCAGCGTGTCCGGCCGGTCGCCGAATTGTGCCGGACCCTTCTTATCGCCCCCCGTGGGAGCCGAACGCTCCTGGCTCTAGATACCCGAAGTACTAGCTTCTGGCCTCGGCAAATCTATACTCCTCTGTGACGACACCTCGGGGTCGCCCGCCCCATGAGGCGGAGAGGCTGGTGGGGTTTCACTCTCCATCATCTCCCGAAGGAGATCCCCCGAAGACGACCTCTGTTGAGAAGAGCTGCTAGCCGGACTACAAAGAATGGATCCTGGTTATTGTTCTCGGAGGAGGAAGCAGTAGCTTTGTATTTACGATTAACTTACAACTCGGCTGAGGGCTGGCCCGTTTGCGGGCATGGCGCGGTGAGGACGCCCTTCGGGGCAGGGCTCCCTAGTGAAGCTTTCTTCCCTTGTCTGGGAACCTCCATCTCCAAGTCTTCAGAGGCGGCCCTCTTCTTCCGCGGGGGCAGGAGACCTTAGATTCCCCTTCCCGACTATCCTCCTTCGTGGAGGTAGTAATTCCCCCCGGTTAGATGTGCAATGTGTGAAGTTCTGCTTCTCTGTTCTTCCCTTCGTCTTTCCCCGAGGGCACTTGACTTAGCACACGACTAAGCATCTTGGCTACAACAGGACTAGGCAAGCCTTCGGGAAGTGGCGCCGGACACCTGATTCTCTCTGCCTTGCTGAGCCATTCCTGGCAACGGATGGTTTTCAGAATAACGTTATGACAAATATAAACGAAGTGTTCGGTTTCTGGGTTACTTACTCGGGTATCTGGGCGGTTGCAGCTCAGGCCCGCATCCTCGGTGGTGTTCGGACACTTTACTTGTGGTCCGAAGAATAACTTACGCATCCCTTCGAGCGTCATGCCGAAGAAGTGCAGAATAGTCCGCGGACCTTCCGGATTGAACTCCAACATCCGGAGAGGCCGGCGTTTGCACGGCAAGATCCGTCGGACTAGCATTACTTGAATTACACTGATAAGGCTAATGTCCCTCTCAAGAAGCTCCCGAATGCGGCTCTGCAATGTTGGTACATCGTTAGCAGGCCCCCAATCCAGTCCCACATTGGCCCATGACGCCAGTTGAGGTGGAGGGCCCGAACGGAAGTCGGGGGCAGCCACCCACTTTGTGCCTCTGGGAGCCGTGACGTAAAACCACCTCCGCTGCCATAGATCGGACACCTCCGGGAAGAAGCCCTCTGGCCATGGGGCGTCGGCGTTCCTGCTTATTACAGCACCTCCGCACTCCGCGTGTCGCCCCTCAATCATCTTCGGCTTCACATTGAAGGTCTTGAGCCATAAGCCGAAGTGCGGGGTGATGTGGAGGAAGGCTTCGCACACGACGATGAACGACGAGATGTGAAGGATGGCGTCCGAAGCTAGATCATGAAAATCTAGCCCGTAATAGAACATGAGCCCTCTCACAAAGGGATCAAGGGTGAAGCCTAAGCCGCGAAGGAAGTGAGAAACAAATACGACGCTCTCGTTGGGCTCGGGAGTAGGGATGACCTGCCCTAGAGCAGGAAGCCTATGCTTGATGTCGGCGGTCAGATATCTGACCTCCCTAAGCTTCGCAATGTCCTCCTCTGTGACAGAGGAGGCCATCCACCGGCCTTGAAGGTTGGATCCGGACATGATTGAAGATCCGAAGTGCTTAGGCTTGGGCTTCGGGTGTTGTAACTCGAGATGAGGAAAGGCGCAAGCATGGTAGAAAAGAGGGATAGGCCTCGGCCCCTCTATAAAGGGGTGAATATCAAGCGTCCTCAGCATAACCGCTTGGGACTTACCTAAAAACACGGAGTCATACCAACAGGCGTCGTGGGGTTGCACGCGCCCATATTAATGGAGGATCCCGCAATAAGGGGAACGCGATCTCTGCTTTGGCAAGGCGTGCCAATGAAACCGCCTCGCAACGCGTATCGAGGCAGGCCGAGAAAAACCGGTTCGTGTTGAGCCAGGCCACGACGTAAGGGCACATCGTAAAGAAAAATTGTCAGCAGATCAGATTTGTGAAGTGTTATGCTCTCTACGGTGGTGTGCGGAAATTATCTCACAGAGCCAGACACAATCCTTAATCTGCTTTGGAGTATTTGGAGATGGAACCCGCCTTGCAATGCCGAAGACAATCTACGCGTCGGACTCATCGTCATTGAAGCCTGATTCAGGGGCTACTGAGGGAGTCCTGGATTAGGGGGTATCCGGACATCCGGACTATATACTTTGGCCAGACTGATGGACCGTGAAGATACAAGACTCAAGACTTCGTCACGTGTCCGGATGGGACTCTCCTTTGCGTGGAAGACAAGCTTGGAGATCCGGATATTAGATCTCCTTCTTTGTAACCGACTCTGTGTAAACCCTAGCCTCCTCCGGTGTCTATATAAACCGGAGGGTTTAGTCCGTAGAGGGACAATCATAATCATCATAGGCTAGCTTCTAGGGTTTAGCCTCTACGATCTCGAGGTAGATCAATTCTTGTAATACTCATATCATCAAGATCAATCAAGCAGGAAGTAGGGTTTTACCTTCATCGAGAGGGCCCGAACTTGGGTAAAACATCGTGTCCCCTGCCTCCTGTTACCATTAGCCTTAGACACACAGATCGGGACCCCCTACCCGAGATCCGCCGGTTTTGACACCGATAGCGGGCGTGCCGGTCAGCCCGGGCGTTCAAAGGGCCTGTCTGGGTCCAAATTTCATAATCGAGCAGCGACCGGACGGCCTGCCCGGACGTTTGAGACGGTACCGGCTGTAGATGCTCTTATATACTACTCCCTTCGTCCCAAAATATTTTGAGACAGAAGCGAACCAACCTATGGTTGAGATGGTTAGGTGGACAGTGGTATCCCCAACCCACCAGGGTTCAAATCCTGGTGCTCGCATTATTTCTGGATTTATTTCAGGATTTCCGGCGATGCGCTTTCAACGGGAGGAGACGTTCCCGTCGACGACGAGGCGCCTACGGTGACTTGTAAATCTCAAGATGATGCCGGCTCAGTCTCTAGGAGATGCTCATAGGGGTAGAGTGTGCGTGTGTGCGTTCATAGGGGTGAATGTATGCGCGTGTATATGAGCGCTTGTGTCGATGCTAAAAAAAATAATATTTTGAGACAGAAGGGGTAGTACATACAAAGACCTCCAGCGGACCAAGAGGGAGCCGAGTCGTCTGTCTTGTCCTTTCCCAACTCTTCCAAGTTCAAAACACTACCATATCATGTACAGGAGTAGAGAACATAGCAAGCATCCCAGATAGTTTTCTTTTAGTGTACATCCCAAATAGCATAGCAGATCACAACATGGCGGCGGTAGAATTCGGCCCTCACGAGAAGATGACGCTCGACGCGGAGCTGCTGCAAGTGCTAACCGCCGGCGACAAGGTCTGCATGGAGGAGATACTGAGCAGACAAGACCATGGTGCCGGCCACCGCCGCCAGCAAACAGCCGCCCAGGGCCACGTCGCGGTAAACGTCCATGGCGCGGCACCGGGCCGCTTTCTTCTAGGCGTGGCGAGCAACGGGAACACGGCTTTGCACCTTGTCGCCAGCCGCGGTCACGTCGAGCTGGCGACGCTCCTCTGCGAGAGGGCGCCCTCGCTGGCCGCCGCGCGCAACAAGTGCCTCGACACGCCGCTGCACTGCGCGGCGAGGTTCGGGCACGCGGATGTGGCGGCTGTCCTCCTGCCGAGGATGCGGGACGGCGCGGCGGAGGAGGAGTCCGCGCTGCGCGCGAGGAACCAGTCGGGCGCAACCGCCTTGTACGAAGCCGTCCGGCACGGGCGTGCCGGTGTGGTGGATCTGCTCATGACGGAGGTTCCCGATCTGGCCTCCGTTGACGGCGACGAGGGTGTCTCGCCGCTCTACCTGGCGGCGTCGACTGACTCGCTCCAGATGGTCCGCGCGCTGCTACGCCCGTCAGAAAACGGAACACCCTCGCCGGCGTCGTTTTCTGGTCCGGAGGGACGGACTGCTTTGCATGCTGCGGCGGCTAGTAGCAGAGGTAGGACTGAAAATGTCTACCTACAGCTGCCGCTTCTTTACTTCTTCCAAGAGCTTCTTGGCTTCAATTTTGATGATTTTGATGTTTCAAGCAAGTAAATTTCAACCTGTACTCACGCGTTGACACACCAGCAAATTTCCCTGTAGAAATGGCTGAAGCAATACTGAGCTGGGGGCCAGAAGGTCCAACGTTGCTAACCAGGGTTGATTCGTCAGGGAGCACGCCTCTCCATTTTGCAGTACTGTATGGACGGCTTGATGTAGTTGTGCTATTCCTTGATGGCCATGCTTCGCTCGGGCTGGCTAGCATTTCTGATGGCAACGGGTCATTTCCTCTGCACATTGCCGCTATGGTGGGACGAGCTAGAATCATGGAGGAGCTCATACACCGAATCCCTGACTGCTATGAGATGGTTGATGGTAAAGGAAGAAATATTCTGCACTGTGCTGTGGAGCATTGTCGGGTAACCGTGGTTCGCCATATTTGCCGGAATGACATGTTCTCGATGCTGTGGAATGCTACGGATTCTGGAGGGAACACTCCACTCCATCTGGCTGCCAATCATGGATATCCGAAGATTGTCATTTTACTACTGGAGACGACAAGTGTGGAGATAGGCATTACCAACAACGATGGGACTAACTGCTATGGATCTTGCTCACCGTGCAATAGCACCCGGCCGGATATACTATTTCCTGGTAAAGTTGTCTTGTACTATCTCCACATTGTGTTATATCTCCATTTTTTTTTGCCGGTGTGTTATATCTCCAATTGTTATATCTGTTAAGTTCAGTACTCCCTCGGACGGAGGGAGTACTTACTAAGAGCATCTAAAACCGAGTTGCCTAATCCGGAGCCCTATACGTCGACACGCCGCGTCTGCGGAGAGTGACCGTCCAACCCTCAAATGACCACATTTGCAACCACATCTCCTACTCCCTCTGTTTCAAAATAGATGACCCAACTTTGTACTAACTTAGTACAAAGTTAGAGTCATCTATTTTGGAACGGAGGGAGTACTTTCGAAGCATAAAATACATGCAAACACATGCACCTCGATCATTACAGTTAAATAATGAGTAGTGCACACAAATAGTCCTTCCGTCCCATAATATAAGAACGTTTTTGACACTAGTGTACTATCAAAAACGTTCTTATATTATGGGACGGAGGGAGTACAAATATTCGAACACATAATCAAAACTAGTGCAAACATAAAAATTGTTCATAGTGCATAATTGAAAATATAAAAGAAAAGTTTAGTGATTTTCATCGTGGATCCACATATGCTCCATAAGATCATCCAGAAGTTGCATATGCACTTGTTGATCTCGCAATTGTGGATGCATCTCCAGAAAGTTGGCAATGTGCCCCACCTCTTGTTTTGGGAGGCAAGTCTGAACACGGGGCTTCTCAAAATCACGCGTAAGGGCTGCCCCTTCATCCTCATCCTCAACAACCATGTTGTGCAAGATTATGCAACATGTCACGAGCTGCCAAAGTGTCTCTGCTTCCCATATCATTGCAGCTCCACGGACAATACCCCAACGAACTTGGAACACTCCAAGTGCCCTCCTCACATCCTTTCTAGCTACCTCTTGCATTGTTGCAAAGTGACTTTGTTTGTTTCCATGTGGATCGGATATGGTCTTCACAAATGCCGCCCATTGAGGATATATACCATCGGCAAGTTAGTACCTCATGTTGTAGTTGTGCCCGTTAACGGTGTATTTGCACGGCGGAGCTTCCCCATCACAAAAGCTTTTGAACAAGCACATTGATGTCATTACACGAACCAGACGTGCCAAAAAAAGCATGCCAAATCTACAAGTCCTTTGATGTCACTGCTTCAAGTATGATATGATGGTGGTCTATTTGACGTGACCTTGGTATTGCCCGCGCAAACATTTTTGGCAGTTCTTCCATTGCCAGTGCATGCAATCAATTGAACCCAACATACTTGGAAATCCTCTTGATGCCCCAATTGCCAACAATTTTTCTGTGACCTCCACAGTTGACTCTCTCAAGTACTCTGGTCCAAATACCTTCATCACAATGCGTGGAATTTGCACCATGGTGTTCAGGACCGTGGTCTCTCCCATCTGGATTTCAGTATCAGTTGCATCTGCGGCCTTGCCATAAGCAAGAATCTCGAGAGCAGCTGCGCATTTCTGCAGAGGAGAGAAAGAAACTTGTTTGCAACAATCCTTTCGCGGCTTGAAGTTTTCATCAGTTTTTTCCACGACAGTCACTACACGCAAGAACAAATCTCTGCTCATTCGGAAGCAACGTCGAAAGAAACCTTCATGCTATGTTGGGGCCATTGTGAAGTAGTCCGTATATAGAAGTCGTGCACCGGCAATCCTATCCCGAGGAATAACCCTTCGGCCCCTTTTATGGAACCTTGAAGTTGGGTATGTGCTCCTCTGCCTTCTTCATCTCCTCTTGGATGCTCATCATCATCATCATCATCATCATCATCATTTCAGCATCTTTGTCGTCTGAATCCGATAAATCGGCGAACTCGTTGAATATGAATTCTTCAAGGTCGGTGTTTCCATAGCATCCACGATGAATTCACTGGTGACCTAGAAATGACCAAAAGAATAAAAAAGCTGCTCGGGAATTTCATCGAACATATAGAGCGCGGGGTGTATCCTGGGGAGTTGGACGTACCGGGACGGCGTCCTTGACTGGTTGCGGCACGATCGACGGCGGTGTGGGTTGGGGCTTCCGGTGGCGAATTTGTGGGTGGGGGACGACGGTGAAGCTTGATGGCGGCAGAACCACAGTGGCGGCTGTGTGGACGAGGAAGAAAAAAGAAGAGGAAGAGGGCTGGTCTGGCAAGGAGGAGGACGCCTTCAAGCGAATTGGTGCAGGCCCTTGCGGCCAGTCCTACATGGCGGGCACGTCCGAGTGTCCCCATATCCGCCCCAGAGATGGGACGGGTCTATGGAGTGCCCGTTAGCCCAGGTGTTTGGGCCGGATTTGCCAGTCTAGTTGGGTGGTTTTTTTCTGTCTGGGTAGTGAACGGGCGCGCCGTTCGGACATTGGTGCGAATATGAGGGCTCTAATTGTAGATGGTCTAACCCTGTTAATAAGGGAGTGGATTCTTTGAACCCCACGAAAGTGCATGTTCTATCTAGATCGTCCAATGTTGCATTGTGATATGTGCTTCGCTTCTTTTCTTTTTTCTTTGCGAAAAGACCTGTACTTCACTTCGTAGAAACTTCTCTTTTTTGTTTTCCTAGACAACACAACCTATAAACTTGAAACTTTGTAGACCAACAGATCATTCGAATAACAATATTTATAAACTTAATTTTCATTTTCAAACAACAATTCTGCTTTTTCTTACCTATTGTAGTTCTTGTGTGTGGTTGATTTGCAAAAGGTCAAATTTATCTATTGTGTCATTTGGAAGAAACAATGTCAAATCAAAATCAAACCACATAAACATTCATCTCCATCTCTGCTAGTATTAGATAGGAATCCATGGTCGTTTCATTCGTATCGTTAGCCCCCTCGTAAGAGCATCTCCAACAGCTTCCCTATAATAGCACAACAACTTTTTAGGGCATTTTGAGCTAAAAACGGCACTCCAACAGTTGAGCCATCGTGCTTAGCACCCCCTTGTCCAGGACACCATCATTCATCCACAATGTCATAAAGACAGCAGTTACCCAACAATGGTATATAATTTAGTTAAATACGGCAATTACTAACAGTAATAGCCAAGAAACAGTAGGCTACACTTAAAGCCATGAATAGCATTAATAACAACCAATTATGTAGGGGACCACCGGGCTGAAGGTTGAGCACTCACACTTTGTACCTTGTGCCAAGAGCTAAGAGCACCACATGAGTAGGGTATTACTTCCGCCGAAGAGAGTCAGGACCTTTATAAACCCTTGCGCGTACTCCCATCTACACCACTCGATAGATACGATTGCCTCTACATTCATACTGCCGTAGTATCGTCACGATTATATCCAAGACAATACCCTACTATAAAGCAGCTGTTGGAGATTTTCTAACACCCATCGATTGAACGACGTCTCCACCCCATCGTCGATTTTACCCCTTTTCCAAATTAACTGCACATTACAATTTTTGAGCGGTTCTTTCCAATTGTGCCCCTCTCCTTCCACTTTTGCTCCTTCTCTCATAAAATCCTCTCTCCCATGACTACTCATATCTCTTCATCTCCTCTCATGTCCACTGATCTTCCCCGCCTTATCTTCCCTGTTCGGCTGGTCCCCATCCTGCCTTCCCCTTCCCCTTCTCCTTCACATCACACTACCCCTTCTCCTCTACTCCCTGCTCATCGCCATGGGCGAGATCCATCTGTGGTTGTGGGGAGAGAGGAATCCTATAGAGTACATCCAACTCCCAGATGACAACTTCCTCGGGACGGCATGATCCACACGCTTGAGCACATCGACAACCACCAGGGTGGCGACTGCCACACATACAAGGGCATGATCATGGAGAGCGAAAAGCAGCATCAATGCCGACAACCAGCAAGACAACGACAACCATGTGCGCGCACTCGAACATGGTAGCAACCAGCAGGACACTGACAACCATGTGCGCTAGCCAACATGCTACATCAGCTAGCCAGCATGGGTGGCCGTATGCATCACTCTAATGCAGAGGTCGGGGAGTCCCCCCCCTTTTCGAAAAAAAAGCTAGCCAGCATGGGACATGCTCTCGCCAACTATGGCACATGTGAGGAGCGCGCGACATGGATAATGGCGAGCTCGCTCCTGCCAGTTCACACACTTTCTGAACGGTGGCTTTACTGGGAATTTGACAATGATTAAGTGATCTAGAGTATGCAATTGAGGCCAGTTTGGTAGCCTGCACCACCCCCAAACAGGGCCATTGAGTGCGAGAAAAAAAACGCTTGGTGGCATACACAGAGGCTCGGCTCACACGTGCACAAACCTTAAAGCAGCCCAGAGCGTGGCTCACTAGAATGCTCGAATCAGCCGTTTCTAGCGAGCTAGGCTGAGTCGGGCACGAAAGTGGGGCACAAGCTATGCCGCGATGTAGTGGAAATTGAGGCGGAGATGGAGAGAGAAGGAAATTATCCGGCGTTTGATGGCACAAAATCTAGC